AGTCAGACATAATACTAAATTTATAGAATTTTTTCAAACAAGTATTAAAAGAAAGTTTCAGTCAGACGTAAAATAGAATTTTATGTACTTTTTAAAAATTAGTAGTAAAAACTAGTTTTCGTCTGACGTAGGATCAAATGCTTCATAATCTTTCAATATCAGTTAGTTAAAACTACGTTCAGTCAGACATAACATCTCATTTATTCAACTTTTTAAAAATCAGTAGTAATAGCATTTTTTTGTCAGACGTAACATTTACTATTTTGTACTATTTTAATATTAGTAGTAATAATTCTTTTCAGTCAGTCATAATACTAAATTTATGGTAATTTTTATACAAACCAGAAAGTAGGTTTAGTCAGACTTAATACTAAAATTTTACTAATTTTCCTGAACAAGTAGTAGAATCTAAGTTTAGTCAGACATAGCATTCAATATTTAATAATCTTTCAATATCAGTAGTTAAAACTACGATTAGTCAGACGATTAGTAAGTAGTGAAAGAAAGTTTTAGTCTTACCTCTGACATCTTATTTAAAGTATTTACTAAAAATTAATAGTGATAACTTAGTTTCGTCAGACATAACATATAATGTTCGATAATTTGTATAATTCAGTAGTAAATACTGAATTCAGTCAGGCATAAATGTAAATTTATAATATTTTCCTTAAACCAGTAGAAAAAGCAAGTTTAGGCCAGATATAAAATTCATTTTTTCGTCCTTTTTCAAAATCAGTAGTTGAAATTAAGTTTTGTCAGACATAACATCTAATTTTGGAAACTTTTTCTAAATCAGTAGTGAAAACAACATTAAGTCAGACGTAATATTCTATTTTTCGTATTGTTTCTAAATCAGTTGTAAAAGCAAGTTTAGATCACACGTTAAATACAATTTTTTCTACTTTTTCTAAATTAGTAGTGATAAGTAGGTTTCGTCAAACATAGAAACCAATGACTGAAACTTTTTCTAAACTAAAATCTACTTCTTCGTGCTTTCTTTAAATAAGTAGTTAAAACTAGATTTAGACAGACATAAAAGTAATGTTATTGCATTTTTTCCTAATCCAGCAGTGAAATCAAGTTCATGTAAATCATAACAACAAATTGTTGATATTTTTCTAAATCAGTAGTGAAAATTTATTTAGTCAGACATAATACTAAATGTATGTTATTGTTTTTAAACGAAAGTTTTTAACCAACAAAGATTAAATAATTAATAATTAAATCTAAAAGAGAAGTGTAAAAATTACTTAATTGTTAAAAACGGTTTTAATTAAGTCGTAATTCGTCAAAGGAATCTTCAGTAACAAAGAATTAATCTCCACGTTATCTGGTTTCAAAATTGAAATATATATATATATATCAAATTCGTTGAATCAATAATATTTAACTAATTGCCAATGACTGTTACTATTGAGTAATTTTACTAGGAATAATTAATTACATAATCATTTGCATATATAACCTTAATACGATAATACTATTAAACCTTCCTTTGACGCACTTCCAAAAGGATGTCATGCTTCATGAATTGTGAATTTCAATGGATCTCAAATCTGTCAAAGCAATCTGAGACCCTTTACAGACAAACTTTGTTCACATTTGTCATTATATGGTCTTTGTGCAAATAATACTTCAATTAGCTTAAATAATTTTTTTAAAATAAATAATAATCAGGTAATATTCAACTAAATATATAATAGTTAATTTTACAAAAAGGGTACAATTTTATAATTCGTTTTAATTTTATATAATTGTATATAGTTATTTTAACTGGAGTGTGTTAATTTTTGTTATAAATGTATATGCAAAATTTTCACTATAACACGTAGATATAACACGAGTGAGTAATATATAATCGTGTAAAATGCTGACAACGCCACTTTCTCACTATTCATCCAGTTATACACACTTTTTAAAACTGGAAAGCCTACATATAATGCTTGTGTCTACCACTTTACCACTTGTAACGACCCATCGACCCTAAATCGACTTTCGTTTATTTCAACGAGTCGGGGTGGTAATTTTATTTTCTCTAAAATTTTTTTACAATCTATATTTGACGAAAGGCTACTATTGACTTTTTCTTGTATTTTATTTTTAATTTTCTGAGAATTTTAATTTAGAATATAATAAAATACAGTGTGAGAGAGCACTTTGTAATTCTGTTGTCACTTTTAAGTTTAATTAATGCAATTTATTATTGTAGATTTAGTAGCTGTTTGGAAACGGTAGTTTAGATGGAATATAGAGATCACTTTAGGAACTATTGTCCTTGTTGTGGTCTCTATGTGGATGATATATTATAGGGAGATGATAGATGACCCTTTGTAGTGGGTAAAGAACAGTGAATAGAATTGACAAACTATACAATATTTAGAGGTTTAATTTTGATAGAATTTTGAAATTCATTAAACTAATGGCAGAAAATTTTAGCAACTGTAAAATAATTTTATCTGGCAATACAAATTATAAAATTTAATTTTTATTTTATAAAATTGTGTCCTCTCATTGAGAAAGAATTTTATCATATAAATTTTCAAATAATAACTCAGATTTTTGAAAAACTTTCAGAATTCTAATTCTTCTGGAATTAGTTAAATTTTGTAGTATAAATTTAATTAATTATTAAAAATACTGGATTTATAGAAGAATTTTAGTTAATAACTCTCAAAAAATAATTTAATTTTGGAAACGTTACAATGAATAATATCAACTTTTGGACATAATGAACTTTTAAGAAGGTATCAAATTCTTCAAATCTCTGAAAAATCTGTATTTTTTATACTTTTTATTAATAAGTCTGTAGAACTAATTTTTTTGATAAATTTTAATTTAAATTCTGTTGAAATTAGTTGAATTTTTTAATATCCTATGTTTAACTAATTCAAAGGTTTTAACTCAATTCTTCAAAGGAATTCAATTATCTTGATAAATATCAAAATTCTTTGTAGAAAATTAATTATTTTTTGGAATGTTAATAAATTTTTTTGCAAAATTTCACTATATTTATATAAATAACAATATTTGTCTCAATTACTTTCAAAAGTAATAAAAATTCTTTGCAGAAATTCAATTATTTTTAATTATTTCAATTATTTTAATAATTTCAATTATTTTATCCATATAAAAAATTTTTTACCTACTATTCCAATTATTTTCAAAAAATTTTTAAAAACCATAGTCAAGATTTCAATTATCTTCATAAATAGCAAAATTCTTTGCAAAATTCAATTATTTTCATAAAAAACAATATTCACTTCAAAAATTCAATAATTCGCAGAAAAATTTAGAAAATTCTCGTCAAGATTTCAATTATCTTTATAAATAGCAAAATTCTTCTCCAAACTTAAATTAATTAATAATTAATAATTATTATCAAAAATTTTAGTAAAATTCTTAGCAGAATTTAAATTATTTTCAGGAATTTCAATAAAATTCTTTGCAAAATTCAATTATTTTCATAAGTTACAATATTTATCTCAAAGATTAAATTATTTACAAAACATTTTTTAAATTCTCTTCAAGATTACATTTATTTTTAAGAATAGAAAAATTCTTCGTCAAAATTAAATTATTTTCAAAAATTTTAATACAATTCTTGGCAACATTTCAATTGTTTTCAAAAATTTTCCTCAATTTAATGATTTTTAATACCTACTTTTATAGTTGAAAAAAATTTAATAAAAATCTACGCAAAAATTTAATTATTTTCTTAAATAATAAAAATTCCATAGGAATTCAATTATTTGCAAATTTTTTATAAATTTCTTCTCAATAATTCCCTTACTTTCATAAATAATAAAATTTTATTTAAATATTCTTTCAAAGAATTCAATTAGTTAAAAATTTGTTTATAAAATTTGTTATGAGAATTCAATTTTAAGCAAAATTCAATAATTCAAAAAAATATTTATTTTCATATTCAAATAATTAAATTCTAGAAGAGTTTTCTAATAAAAATTAATTTAAAAATGAATTTCACTTAAAATTTTAAATGAAAATTGAATATTAAGAGCATTATATTATAGCTTGAATTCTTAGAAATAATTAAATCTTGAAAAAGTTTCAAATTAAAATCTTTGAAAATTTGAATTTTTAATATTTTTAACTAATAATTCTGTAGAATCAATTTTTTTTTAAAAGTTTAATTGAATTTATTTTCAAATTATTTGAAATTTTTATTTTCTAACATACATATAATTGAAGAAGTTTTGAATAATTGAAATTTCGTAAAACTGAATTGTAAACAAATTAATTTGATAATTTTCAAAGAAATTTTTCAAAAATTATTAAAAATAATAGATTTAAAGAAGAATTTTAATTAACAATTCTAGAAAATAATAATTGAAAATTGAAATGATGAAAATAATTTTAAAGTAGTTACAGTAACAATATTCTTATAATTCTTATAATATGAAATAGTTATTTTATTAGTCGGTAATTTTTAAGTATTGTAAAACATAAAGATATAAATCTGAAATGTATGAATATGAAAGTTTTAAAAATCTTAATTTTAATTTTTAATGTAGCGTTATTATTTTAGTTATATGTACAGAAAGTGTCGTAACAAATAAAAAAAGACAAATCAGTAAAACTGAAAAGTAATAAATATTAATACTGTTGAATGTTTCTATAAAACGAATACAAAAACAAAATTGTATTTCGATGGAAACATAAATTTTGTATTTTTAATTAATCAGGAGACTTTTCTCAAAATACGATAAAGATAATCAGAAAATTATACATGTTTGGTTAATTAGTTATGATTTTTAACGTATAAGATATTCAACTTCTGTGTTCACATTGAAGTTGAGTAATTATTTAGCTTTGACTAATAAATTATTTTCTCAATTATAATGAACACGGTTCTCTAATGAGGAAAGCTTTTGAGGAATTAAGCATCGACGACTCTGGCGTGTCTCCCATTTAATTATGCATTTGCTTACTTAGGGAAACTGTTTAGTATCATAGACAGGGCTACCGCATTTGAACCTTACCTTGCGAATATTTGACTCGCTGTAACAGAATTCCCACAAGAGACAGAGAGCCAATGATGATATTCCCGTTTCCTTGGCCAACGTTGCTAAGACCGCTGAGATCAAGGTAAGCAACAGTGGCAAAAGCGATCGTGTTTGATCGCAATGCACTGTGTATGCGAGAAATGCAGTCTGAGTAAAGAGACAAGCCAAAAGATCCGCTCGACCAACAATACCGGCTACGGCTTCAGTATGTATTGGATGCACGGCAAAAAGAAGACCCGCAATTGTCTGAGCCAATGTGTGTCCTGGAAGTACCTGCAAGAATTTTTAAGTTGTTAGAATTTCGGAAATGTCACTTCGCTATTGATAATAATCAAGAGGAACTCGTTTTGGTAGACATTACAATTATCAATTTTTTTGTACTTTTACTAAATCAGTAGTAAAAACTAGATTTAGTCAGACATAAACCTAAAATTATTGTACTTTTTCTAAATCAGTAGTATAAACTAGGTTTCGTCAGACACTGTTTTATATTTTTTTATATCAGTAGTAAAACTAGATTTAGTCAGACGTACCATTTTATGTTTTATAATTTTTTAATATCAGTAGTTAAAATTAGGTTTAGTCAGACCTAATATAAAATTTATACTATTTTTCCTAAACAAGTAGTTAAAACTTGGTTTAGTTATACATAGTACTAAATTTATAGTACTTTTCATAAACAAGTAGTAGAAACTAGGTTTGGTCATAAATAATGCTAAATTTATACTACTTTTCCTAATCAAGTAGTAAAAACTAGATTTAGTCAGACATAAACCTAAAATTATTGTACTTTTTCTAAATCAGTAGTATAAACTAGGTTTCGTCAGACACTGTTTTATATTTTTTTATATCAGTAGTGAAACTAGATTTAGTCAGACGTACTATTTTATGTTTTATAATTTTTTAATATCAGTAGTTAAAATTAGGATTAGTCAGACCTAATATTAAATTTATACTATTTTTCCTAAACAAGTAGTAGAAACTATGTTTGGTCATAAATAATGCTAAATTTATACTACTTTTCGTAATCAAGTCGTAAAAACAAGATTTAGTCAGACATAATACTAATTTTATACCACGTTTCCTAAACAAGTAGTAAAAAGTAAAAACTAGGTTTAGTCAGACCTAATACTAAAATTTTACTACATTTCCGTAAAGAGGAGTAAAAACTAGGTTTAGTCATTTTAGCATTCAACCAGTAGTAAAATCAAGATGTAGTCAGACGTAATACTAAATTTATTCTACTTTTTGTAAACAAGTAGTAAAAACTGCCTCTAGACAGAAGCCATACTAAATTTATACTACTTTTCCTAAACAAGTAGTAAAAACTATGTTTATTCAGTCATAATACTCAATTTATACTACTTTTTCTGTGCAAGTAGTAAAAACTATGTTTAGTCAGACATAATACTCAATCTAGTTTTTACTAAATTTTACGAAATTTCAATTATTCGGAAATTCTTCAATTAAACATATATTAGAAAATAAAAAATTTCAAGTAATTTAAAAGCAAAATAAATTAAACTTTTTCAAAAAAAAATTAATTCTACAGAATTGTTAGTTAAAAATATTAGAAATTCGAATTCTCAAAGATTTAAATTTGAAACGTTTTCAAAATTCAATTATTTCTAAAAATGCATGCTATAATAATTTTAATATTCAATTTTAATTTCAAATTTTAAGTGAAATTTATTTTTAAATCAATTATTATTATAAAATTCTACAAAGAATTCAATTATTTGAATACAAAAATAAATAATTTATTGAGAAAAATTGAATGCTTTTTAAAATTGAATTCTCATAAAGAATTTTATCAACAATATTTTAAATAATTAAATTCTTTCAAAGAATTTTAACAAAATTTTTAAATAATTAAATTCTTTCAAAGAATTTTAACAAAATTTATAAATTATTAAATTCTTTTCAAAGAATTTAAACAAAAATTTTTAGGAATAATTATTTTTTTAAAGAATTCGATTAAAATTTTATTAAAAGTAATTAAAGTTCTGCAATGAGTTTTACTGTTTATGGAAATAATTGAATTTCTAAAAAGATTTTTATTATTTATAAAAATTATTAAATCCCTGTAAAAATTTTTATTATTTATAAAAATAAGTAAATTATTGCGAAGAAATTTATTAAAAATTTGCAAATAATTGAATTCCTGTCTAATTTTTATTACTTAAGAAAATAATTAAATTTTTGCTTATAGAATTTTATTAAATTTTTTTTAACTATAAAAATATTAAAAATCATTAAATTGTGAAATTTGTGAAAATACTTGAAGCTTTGCAAAGAATTTTATTAAAATTTATGGAAATGGAAATTAAATTTTCGAACATAATTGAATTTCTGCGAAGAATTTTATTATACTTTTGAAATAATTGAATTATGCAAAGAATTGTATTTAAATTCCTGAAAATACTACTACTTCAAAACAAGTAGTGCAAGCCAGTTTAGGTCAGACGTAACATTTTTTTTGTATTTTTTCTAAATCAGTAGTAAAAACTGGGTTTGGTTAGAAATATAATTAAATTCATTATATATCTTTTGAACCAGTAGTAAAAGCAAGTTTGGGTCAGACCATAAAATTAACTTCTTTTACTTTTTAAAAATGAGTAGCGAAAACTAAGTTTCTTTAGGCATAGCATTTAATGTTCGATATTTCACTATTTTTAATTTTAAAAAGTTTAATAAGCAGAAAAAAGTTTTAAATAAGTTTTGGAAAACAAAATTAAACTGAAAAAGGATTAAAAAATTAAAAATTGATGTTCAACACGATAAAAAGAGTTTAACGCCTCTAAATTGACAATACATATCTTGTACATACATTTATGAGAAAATATATATACTTTAGATATTCTTCAAAGGTGTTTACATCTAAATTGATCTACATATTTGACGTACTTTAAAGGAAAATTTCATTTACTTGCAATCGAAAGCAGTAAATTTCTACTTTGTGCAGCCAGATTGTACCCTACGGCGCTAGAATCACTAAAAGGATCAAACAAAGTTATGTAGTACCTAGCATGCGTTGCCTGATAAAACGATTCGCAGTGTTGTAATCTCTTCGTCAAAAAATTTATATGTTTCGTACAGAAGTTTTGTGACGAAAACCATTTAGAGAATTTAAATAAAATGCACATTCGTACTATCTAGTGGGACTTTTTTTTCTTTTTTTTTTTTGTTGCATACTTTGATAGCATTTATTTTTATGAAATACATAGATATATATATAGAACAGAGCAGGAATGTAAATAAGAATTTCTTTCAAAAGGGATATAAAACGTTCATAGCAAAACTTGACGTAGAATTTAGAATATTGGAAAGTTATTTGTTTCATTTGACTGAATATGTGGGAAATTGTAAATGTCCATGTTTTGTTTGAAAAAAAAAATATTTTAATGGAGAGGAAAATATTGTTTTGTACATGTTTACTGTTAAATTATAAATAAAACGATTTTGGTACTATTACTTTAAAATTTGGATTCGATTTCGACTTTAATTTGATATTAAAGATTTTTAACTGTAACTCTAATTTCCAATTTTTATTTTGACTTTGGAATTGAATTTTTTATTACAACTTTGAAGTTTCATTCGATGATGACTTTGAAATTAAATGTAACTTTAATTTAAATTTTAACTTTTACATTAACATGAATGTCACTTTAATGTTTACTTTAACTTTCAGCATGCAATGTTTCATAATTTTTCAATATCAGTCGCAAAATCTAGATTTAGTCAGAAATGATATTAAATTTATACTACTTTTCCTAAACAAGTAGTAAAAACTAGTATAGTCAGACATAATACTAAATGTATACTACTTTTCCTAAACACGTAGAAAAAACTAGATTTAGTCAGACATGAACCTAAAATTATTGTATTTTTTCTAAACGAGTAGTAAAAACTAGGTTTTAATCAGACATAATACTAAACTTATGCTACTTTTATTAATCTAGTAGTAAAAAGTAGGTTTAGTCAGACGTTTTATCCTTTTTAAATAACAATAGAGAAAACTAGGTTTAGTCTGACATAAATCTGAAATTATTACATTCATATTCATTTTGTTTATTATTTGCTTTTTTCTTTAACAAATTTCGTTTAACTGATGTAAATTATGCAAATTTTTCTCCTTCTAATTTATAAAAAATATGTGAAAATTCGTTAATTGTTAAAAAATTATCATTAAGAAATAGGAAATATACCCATTGTATGCATCTATTTACGAATTTTTTTCTAATTGTAAATCTATTCGAAAACATCAATAACTTTTTTTAAAATAAATATTTAATCAATATTGCTTTTTCATAGAAAATAAATAAGCATTTCAAATTCAAATTTTTTTAAATTTAATAACTTATAAGAATATTTTTATAAAACATGAAGATAGTGATTGCTCTGATTCGAAGACTCTGAGTGATCGATTTCTTCATATGTTTTATGATAATTAAAGATGACCGAGTGATAAAATCATTGATTTATATTATAAGAATATTATTACAGTAACATTTTCAAAATTATTTTTATCATTTCAAATCAATTATTATTTTCTACAATTTTTAATTATTTTTTATGAAAATAATTGAATTTCTTAAAAAAAAATTTATTATTTATAAAAATAATTGAATTATTGCGAAGGAATTTATAAAAAATTTGTAAATAATTTAAATCCTGAAAATTTTTTATTATTTATGAAAATAATTAAATATTTGCGTACTATTTTCGGGAATTTGAAATTGATTTGAAAATTTTAAGTGCTTTTTAAAAATTAGTAGTTAAAACTAATTTTTGTCAGACGCAGCATCAAATGTTTTATAATTTTGCTACAAATTTTGCACTTGCAGCTAAAAATTTCAATTTATTTTAATTAATAGTGTTGATCATGTAAAAGTCACTTTATGAAGATTTTATTAAATTTGGAAAATTTTTAACTAGAAGAAAATAGTTTAAAAAAGTAAATGTTTTATTAAACCTAATTTTTACTACAGATTAAAAAAATGTATCGAAAAAGTGACTGATATGTCTGACAAAATCTCGTTTTCACTACTGGTTTGCAGTAAATACCATAAATTTTAATATTATGTCTGACTAAACCTAGTTTTTACTACTGATATTGAAAAATTATGAAATATTGGATGCTGCGTCTGAAGAAATCTAATTCTCACTACTTATTTTTAAAAATTATTTAAGTTTTGACGTTATGTCTAATGGAACGTACAACTTTTGTACTATTTCTTAATTAGTAGTAAAAACTATGTTCAGTTAGATATAAAACTGAAATTATTGCATTTCTTCTAAACCAATAGTGAAAGGAAGTTTTAGTCAGACGTAATATCCTATTTTTCGTATTGTTTTTAAAACAGTTGTAAATGTAAGTTTAGATATCAGTAGTTAAAACTACCTTTAGTCAGACATAAAATTATATTTATTGTATTTCGTCTAAATTAGTAGTAAAATCAAATTATAATCAAACGTAGCATCTAATTTTTTGTACTTTTTCTAAATCAGTAGTATTAACTAGGTTTCGTCAGACATAGCATTCAATGTTTTATAATTTTTAATATCAGTAGTTAAACTTACGTTTAGTCAGACATACAATTAAATTTATTGTATTTCGTCTAAACTAGTAGTAAAATCAAATTATAGTCAGACGTAGCATCTAATTTTTTGTTCTTTTTCTAAATCAGTAGTATAAACTAGTTTTAGTCAGACATAAAACTGAAATTATTGAATTTCTTCTAAACCAGTAGTAAAAGCGAGTTTTAGTCAGACCTAGCATTCAATTTTAAGTGTTTTTTAAAAATTAGTAGTTAAAACTAGATTTAGTCAGATATAGCATCCAATGCTTTATAATTTTTCTATATCAGTTGTTAAAACTACCTCTAGTCTGACGTAACATCCCTGAATAAAATTAATTTTACAATAAAGTGAAATTAAAGAAATAATTTTTTTGATTTATTATTCTTGTGAGGCATTTTTTTCTTTTTAATAAATTACAACAAAAGGGAATTCTTAATATATCCTGACCATTGACGACATAAAATATCCTATACCCTTTTAGTGGGAACAAAAAATGTCGCCACATGTGACGCTCAAATAAAAACTCCCTTAGCTTATAAACATCTAGAACATGTTTGCACGTAACGGGAAGCACATGGTGGCAAAAAATTAATTTCGTAACTTTCCCCTCGAAATCCTCGGGTTTGGATAATTTTTTACCAGGAAGACACCAATGGCGGGAATTTACAAGGTCTGTTGTCCATAAGTCAAACTTTCAATTTCTCCCCCATTCTAGTGCCACTTTGATTAACGATGTATATACAAAGGACTCAGGTCAACCTGTTTCGTTGTTCTTAACGCAGTATAGTGTATATATACACTTTCCTAAGATAAAGTGTCACGTGAAATATACCAAGATTATCGTGTGCTTATTTCACATAGATGTCATGTTTACATTATATTAGATTTTGTGTGCGAAAAAAAAATTAAGTTATTCTTATCCCATCAAAGTTTATCGCTGACGTGTGTCTATATTGAGATAAAGCTTACAAAGAGAATAAAAAGACAAGTGATATTGAATATTTCTTGACCCTCCTTTTTTCAGAAACTGTCAACAAAGGAGACATTCAAAAGTCCCCTTTTTATTCACCACAAACGTGAAAATATTTTGAGCCAATATAAAAAACATAAGGGATTTTACTTATATAGCTTTAAAATTTATAAGGGGTTTTCTCAGCTTTATTGAAATCTTTTATATTTTTCTTTCTTTTGCAATTGCTGGATATATGATTTATATTTTTCTTTCCTCATTTTTATCCGATTTTTTATTATTTCTGTTGGAATATTTTGTCTCTATTTTCAAAAAAGTTTCTGCTTTTTTATTTTGCTTTAAAAAATAATAAAATTTTAATTAAATACATTTTATCAACCACTAGATTCATTGATATTTCGTCTGTACCAGATTAAATATTTAGTCTGTACTAAATTAATTATTTAGTACTTTAATGATACTGACTTAAAATAATTATTTTACCTTGGAATATTTTTATTTTAATATAAAAAAGAAAAATTGGAGAGAACGCTTTTGCAACTCCAAAATACTTTTTTTTCTTTTAAATTTTTCATGATCAGAATATTGGAACACGAGTGAATAATGCATAGTTGCTAAGGATCAATGTGGGGCAAACAATTGCAGTCGAAGCAGTTCACAATCATAATGATCGAGGGAAAATTAATTACTTTTCTTCTTACCACACCGTCTGATAATTAAATTCAGTTTACAGAAAATAATAATTAGAAAAGAAAATAGAAATAAGAATATTATTGTCTTTTGTAAGGATTAAAAATGAAAGAGTCACAATTATAGACAAATAGATTTATTATACTTCTTATAAAACGTGTCAATCTACCGGAAGATCGTCGTAGACTGGAGTAATCGGGAAGAACTGATTCTCCCTTCGTTTTTGCCGAATTGACAACGAACTCATGACTCATCACTTACACTTTAATATTGTGAATAAACCGTCTTATTCTCATTTTCAAACGAATTTTTTTTCTATTTAAAAAAATTTCAAATTTAATAAAATCTTCATAAAATTACTTTTACTTGATTCACACTATTGATTTAAAAATATTTTTAACTTTTGCTATTACAAATGTAAAATTTGTGAAATGTTTGTCTGCTTTTTCGGAACTGAATCTGTTTGAAACATTCTGTTTCAAAAAAATAATTTGATTTTTAAATAATTGAATTACCTTTTATTTTCAATGTGTCTAAATCAAAACCAAATTATTTTTAAAAGATTTTGAAAAAATAATCCTTTAAAAGGATAAAAGCCTTGCAAATTATTTTAATTCATTTTTGGTGTTAAAAATTACAACACTATTTTCTGTGAATCAGTAGTGAAAACAAATTTAAGTCAGACGAAATATTTCATTTTTCGTATTATTTATAATTTTCTAAAACAGTTTTTAAATATTAGTTTAGATTACATGTAAAATGATCTTTTTTCTATTTTTCCTAAATGAGTAGTATAAACTAGGTTTCGTCAGGCATAGCATACATGTGTTTTATAATTTTTTAATAACAGTAGTTAAAACTATGTTTAGTCAGACATAAAATGAAATTTATTGTATTTCGTCTAAACTAGTAGTAAAATCAAATTATAGTCAGACGTAAATCTAATCTTTTGTACTTTTTCTAAATCAGCAGTATAAACTAGGTTTCTTCAGACATATAGCATCCAATGTTTTATAATTTTTCAATATCAATAGTCGAAACTATGATTTGTCAGAAATAAAATTAAATGTCTTTTAAACCAGTAGTAAAAGTAAGTTATGAACAGACGTGTATCTTCCAACTTTTTGTACTTTTTCTAAATCAGTACTGAAAACTAGGTTTAGTCAGATATAATACTAAATTTATGGTATTTTTTCCAAACCAGTAATGAAAGAATGTTTAGTCAGACATAACATCCAATTTTAAGTATTTTTTAAAAAATAGTAATGAAAGCTTGGACTCGTCAGACCCAATTTTTTTAATTTGGCAATATTAGTAGTAAAACTAGAATATGTCCGACGTACCATTCTATGTTTTGTAATTTTTCAATATCAGTAGTAAAAACTATTTTTGGTCAGACATAAAATTAAATTTGTTATATTTCCTGTAAACTGTAGTAAAAGCACATCATAGTCAAACGAAACATATAAATATTCTGGATTTTATGAATAAGTAGTAATAATTAGATTTAGTCAGACATAATGATAAACTTATGGTATTTATTCTAAACTAGTAGTGAAAGTCAGTTTAAGTAAAACGTAACATTCTTCTTTTGTAGTTCTTCTAAATTAGTAGTAAAAACTAGGTTTTGTCAGACATAATACTAAATTTACACTACTTTTCCTAAACAAGTAGTGCAAGCAAGTTTAGGTCAGACAATTCATTATTCTTTGAGTACTTTTCCTAAAACAGTAGTAAAAACTAGGTTTAGTCAGACATATCATTCAATGTTTAATAATCTGCCAATATCAGTAGTTAAAACTAGGTTTAGTCAGACATATCATTCAATGTTTAATAATCTGCCAATATCAGTAGTTAAAACTACGTTGAGTCAAACATAAAATTAAATTTATTGTATTTCTTCTGAACCAGTAGTAAAAACCAGGTTTAGTCAGACTTAACATCTAATTTTATGTTGTTTTTTTAAGTCAGTAGTAGAAAGTAGGTTTAGTCAGACGCAATACTAAATTTATACTACTTTTCGTTAACAAGTAGTACAAACTACCTTTAGTCAGACACAATGCTAAATTTATACTACTTTTCCTAAACAAGTAGTAAAAAGTATGTTTAATTCTAAATTTACGCTACGATTTCTGAACAAGTAATAAAAACTAGGCTAAATCAGACATAGCCTTTATTGTTTAATAATCTTCCAATATCAGTAGTTAAAACTACGTTCAGTCAGACATAAAATTAAATTTATTGTATTTCTTCTGAATCAGTAGTAAAATGAATTTGTAGTCAAACTTAACATCTAATTTTATGTTGTTTTTCTAAATCAATAGTAGAAACTAGGTTTAGTCAGACGCAATACTAAATTTATACTACTTTTCCTAAACAAGTAGTACAAGCAAGTATATTTCAGACAGAATACTAAATTTATTTTACTACTTCTAAAATAGTAGTGCAAGCAAGTTTAGGTCAGACATTATGTGTACTTTTTCTATATCAGTAGTAAAAACTAGGTTTAGTTAGACATAAAATTTAATTTTATGTATATCTTTTGAACCAGTAGTAAAAACTACATACAGTTTTAAGTTCTTTTTAAAAATTAGTAGTGAAAACTAAGTTACGTCAGACATAACGTCCAATTTTAATACTTTTTAAAAATGAGTAGTGAAAACAAAGTTTCGTCAGACACATCACTCAATATTTTTTGATTTTTCAACATCAGTAGTAAAAACTAGATTTAGTTCAACATAACACTAAAATATGGTATTTTACTCAACACTATAGATTAAAATATATGATGAACTTTTGCTACAAATACAAAATTTGTGATGTGCCTGTCTACTTTTTTGTGTTTTTCCCTACTGAATCTGTTTTGAACAAAATTAAAAAATATATATATAATTATAAGTAATTACCTTTCTTCCTATTCGGACCACCAGAGCCGTACAAACTGCATGAAGAATAATGTTCACGAGATGATAACCTTGGGGTTCAAGGCCACCAAGAAGGTAATTGATTTTAAAAGTAGCTACACAAAGTGGCCTGTAACTGCCATGCGAACCCTTCTCATAAAGTGGAGTCCCCCAAAAATCATTCTCCAAAAGTTTGTACCATTCCGTCGTTGGTTTTAAATCCGGATTCGTTAAAATGGCTCTCCTGGAAAATCAACAAAAAATTCCATTTAACTATATATTTTCAACAAAAAGAATAATTTTAAAATTTCATACACATTTTTAAATTTTCATTTTTTTGCTTTTTTTAAAAAATTTTCATATGGGCAATTAATTAGCCATTGATTTTTGCATTATCAGGTTAAATTAGTGTCGTTTCATTTTGATTAAAACGCCATGTGTGAGGGGTGGGGAGGGGGGCGGTGGTCACAAAACCATATTCATCCAGAATTTGAGCATCAAGCGTATCGCTTCAAGCGGTTGGCTGACCAAAGCTTCCCCTATCTACTTGCAATATCATGTTATACGTCACGTTCTGATATAATGTTTCAAAAACTTTACCGTAAAGCACAAAATGCGATCTGAACTTGATATCCAATGTAAAATCAAGAGCTTTTGACCCCACATCAAACTCAATCAAGTATATCCCATATGCACCTGACAAGATATGCCTCTAATAAATGACAGCTAATTGAAAATCAATATAACCGCTTGTTTTCATTGCATTTATTTAAAAAAAAAATCGAAGGAAAAATTTTTTTTAATTATAGAAGAGAAGGCGACAAATTTTTTATTTTTTGCATTGTATTAAATTTTGTTCAATAGAATAAAATTCAATAGAATAGATTGAATATGAATATATATATATAAATATTGGGGAATATTGTAAAATATTGTGAATATAAAAAAAAATTATATCTAGTTTTTATACGCATCGTTAGAAAGTTAAAAAAAATGTTGTCAGTCTTAAATAATGATGATGATGATGATGATAAAATAGCTATGAATAAAAATTATTATTATTGGTTATTACTTTTAAATTGAGTAATGCTTGACGAGTGAAGATGTATAGAAAGAATTTTTTTTTTATGGTACAACTAAAGTCATGTTTCGCTATAAAAAGTACCAGAGGCAAAGACATTCGCTGGAAATTGTGTTGCTGGGATTTATATTTATATATAAAAGATACTTTACTTTATCCTATGAAGATTACTAATATAAATGTTATGAAAGTCCTTTAGTGTCAAAGGATGAAGGTGGGTTTAAGGAAAGCACTAATACCACGCACTGAAACTCAAAGTAATTTAATTTTATCTTAGGCTTTATAGCAATATCAATAAGGATGAACTTTCTTCTTCGGAGATTATATATTTTCATGATATTAATAATAATAGTAATAATAATTCTAATAATAATAATCATAATAATAAAAATGATCGTATAATAATACTAATAATTATCGTAATAATAATAAGAATAATGATAGTAATAATAATAATAATAAAAACCTTTAATAGAACCTTCATCCTAAACATTATTTTTCAATCTTTCGAATATTTCATATATCGAAATAAATTGATGTAGCAATATTCCATTTAAATTGATTTATGATGTTTTATTCCGGTAAAAATTTATATAATCTAAAAGTTATTATTTACTATATCTGAATATTTTTTTTTATAATATAAAATTGGTTTCTTTTCGATTATTGGAAGATGAATTAATAAAAAGCTATTTCAATATTTTTGCTTTTTGAAACGTTTTCGAGTATTTGTTTAATGCCATCGTCAGGCCACTTTATTTAAGCAAAATTTAATAACATTTTTTAGACAAAAAAAAGAAAAGATTTCATTCGAAAACATCAATAACTTTTTTTTTAAATAAATATTTAATCGTTCTTATTCTTCTATAGGAATTAAGATTTTCCAAAATTTTTCTAAAATCAATTATTTTTAAAAATTTTCGAAAAAGTTCTTTAAGAATTTTTAAATCCATTTGTTTACAAATTAAATTTTACAAAATTTCGATTATTCGGAAATTCTGTAATTAAATATATCTTACAAAATACAATTTTTATATAATTTAAAAAGAAATTCAACCAAATTTAAAAAAAAAATTAATTCTACAGAATTTTTAGTTAAAAGTATGAAAAATTCAAATTCACAAAGATTTTAATTGAAACCTTTTCAAAATTCAAATATTTCTCAAAATTCATCCTATAATAATTCTAATATTCAATTATTCTGGTAATCTTTAACTGAAATTCCGTTTTTAATCAATTATTATAAGAAAATTATACGAGAATTCAATTATTTAAATTTTATCAACAAATTTTTAAATAATTCAATTCTTTTGACAAATTTTTAAAAATTCTTTTTAAATAATTAGGAACATTTTTCGAAAAATTCGATTAAAATTGTATTAAAAATGATTGAAATTCTGCAATAAGTTTTATTATTTATGTAAATATTTAAATTTCTAAAAAAAATTTTATTATTTATACGAAAATAAATAAATCACTGTAAAAATTTTTGTTTAATAAAAATAATTGAATTTTTGTGAAAAAATTTAAATTTTATTAAAATTTTTGAAAATAATAGAATTTTAGTCAAGAATTTTGCTATTTATGAATTTAACTGAATTTTTAAAGAGATTTAAAATAATTTGTGAAAATTATTGAATTTTATGTGATGAATATTCTTATTTATAAAAATAATTAAATCCCTTTAAAAAATGTTATTATTTATGAAAATTATTGAATGCTCCTAAAGAAATTTATAAAGAAAATTTGTAATTAATTGAATTTCTATGCAAATAATTAAAGGGCTGTAAAGAATTTTATTATTTTTGAAAATAATTGAAATTTTTCTAGGAATTTTATTAAAATTTTTAAAAGCAATTGAATTTTTGCGATGAATATTGTTATTTATGAAAATAATAATTTAATTTTTCAATTTTATTTTCTATAAAAATAGTTGAATCGCTGTAAGAAAATGTATTTTTCATGAAATTAATTGAATTAAAGCCGAGAAATTTATAAAAAAATTTTAAATAATTGTATTCCTGTGAAATTTTTATTATTTATAAAAATAATTAAATTTTTGCGTATAATATTATTAATTTATTACTGTGACTTTTTCAACATTATTTTCATCATTTCAACTCAATTATTATTTTCTAGAATTTTTGACTAAAATTCTTCGTCAAAACAATTATTTTCAAAGAAACTTAGTGATTCCATCCAGTAATTATTATTGTATTATTTTTAAAAAGAAAATTAAAAATTAAAAAATCCTAATTTTTAATTTTCTTCTTGAAAATGATACAATTATTTTTAATAATTTTTGTTTTTAAATTTTAATTTTAGCTTTTTTTGAATTTTCATATCCCAAATTGAATTTGACAGTGAAGTGAAAGAAAATCAAAGTAAAGTGATATTGAAGTGACAGTGAAGTGAAAGTGAAGTGCGAATATCGAGTGAAAGTAAAGTGGATGTCAATTGAAATTGAATCGAAATGGAACCAATTTTATAATTACGAAAATAATGAAAGAAAAGCAGTCACCGATTTTCTAAAAAAAAAAATTGTTTTTTTATTAAAATAACTCAAAATAGAAATTTCGTCTACAAACGACGATTAAAAAGATTTAAAGTACATTAGAATAAAAGGGTAGTCTTCATTCGGGTCATATTGAAAATTATGCATATTAGTCCAAGTTTTAGTTTTATGATGAATGTAAATTTAATGAAAGAAGGAAAAAAAACTACTAAAGGCCATCTGATATTAAGAAATGACGTGTTCACCCCAACTTAAGTATTTCTCCCTAAATGACGATAGCAGATTATATTGATCTGGAAGGTCAATTTCAAGCTCATTTTATTTTATCTAGATAAATGGGCAGCAATTCAAGACTTGATGAATAGTCACAAGCTAGACGGTATAGAAGGAGCTTGAATAATAAAGCGCGGTTTTATCGCTGAAACATAGGCTCTGAAAGCAAATGATGTTTTGGATATAAAACTTCTTGGCGCGCTCTATAGCCTATACGCAAAAACCTTAAACAGAAGAATCGTAATTTTTTTTATTAGACACTTCAAAAGCTCAGATATCAAAGTCAGAGTTGTAAAAAATTATATACCTTGGATGGTGAAATTAAAAAAAGAAAAAAAAGAAAAAAGAAAACGAAACTTATTGCTTTTTCTGCATGAGATTTTATTTCAGTACTTGCACATAATATTGATATCAGTATGAAATTTTACTGCCTTACCTCCAAATTGAAATTTATTTTCAGAGAACAGATGATTTTGATATTACCTCAACAATTCTTCTTTATTTCCAAGTAAATTTCAAAATAAATTACTAACCATAAAGTCATAACTTTTTTTTTAATATCGCATTTATTTAACTTATAATAAATGTGGAGCAGAATTAAATGAATTTTAAGTGTAATTACGTCAATTACATAATATACAATTCAAGAAATAAAACATTTAATAGTGGTAATAATACTCATAAATGTGAATTTAATTATAATATGTATATTATTATATTATTTTCCAAAATATCATTTAATTTTCACATTTTAGTCAATTACGTAAAAATTACAACAAAGCCAGTGCTGCATTTTATTTTATTTTATTATATTTGAAATAATTTTCCTTGAAATTTATAGGAACAATGCAGTAAATTCATATATATTATATTCCGATTCAGAACAAGTTTCAGATTGTTTGAAAACTTCATACAATCCTCTTTTGAAAAGTTCGAAACATGTTCAAAATGCTTCCTTGATTTTCTATTGTTGTAAAATTATCGTGATTGAATTAATGATAAGAAAAGATAATAATAATTAATATAATAAGAATTTGTACGAATTCAGTTATTTTTACAAATAATGAAATTTAAATATTTTCAAAATCTATTATTTTATTTATTTATTTATTTAGAATTTTAGATAAACAAATTTATATATTTTAATATAATTTCTCAAAAGAATTCAATTACTTATAAAAAATTTAATAAAATTCAAAGCGAAAATTCAAATAATATGAATAAAAAAGTTTTCACAGTAATTCGATTTTGTGAAATAAATTAAAGGAATTTTTTTCAAAGAAATCAATTATTTAAATATTTTAATAAAATTCTTAAAAAAGAAATTAATTATTATCTAAAAATTTGTTTATAGGAATTAAATTATTTTAATAAA